CATTTGCTTTCCCCTATTTTATGCTACTTTATTCATTAGCCTGTGTTTTCCTCGTAAGTCGGCGCTAACTTACCCAGTAGTATAAAAAACTAGCTTCGCAAATTGAATGCTCTCGAATACGTCTACTCACTATTTTAAGTAGAGTAGAAAATAAAACGAAACTAGTGAATATCCAGGTGGGAACAAAGTATAGATATGACCACCATTTTTTAATGGCCCTTTATTTATTAAAACGTAAGTTCATGCGGTGCTTGAAAAATGGAATCTACGACTACTCAGTAAAAAGGGGGCATTTAGCCGGTGAGTTTATAAAGAAACAAGTCTATTTTCGTGATATTTTTCAAAGAAAGTCTGAAAAATGTGTAATATGGGGTTTGAGATCTATTGCGATTTTTTATGAAACTTGTGCAATGAAACGCTGGCGCAAAGTAGAGCTTCACCTTTCAGAGGAATCAATTCTTTCGGATTTCAAAGTTGGATAGTATTTTAAAATTTTGCACACTTTCACCGGGTACCTACCAGAAAATTCGGAGTTCTTCTTTATGAAAACTAGTTGCTTTAACACGTTCTAATAAAAGATTTAGCCATTAGTTGAACAACTAAAAGCCAGTAAGTAGCGTGAAAGATGAAGCTTATTAGGTCCTACCTTGGCAAATTGGACGAGAACCGGTGCTTTCTACATGGTATGGTCGCTGCCGTACGCGATAGACTTACCTCCATGTGGTGCACCCTGGGCAACGTACACTCATACGGCAAAAAAGTCTATTAACTGGCAGTTAACTTCTGACTTCAAATTACCATGACCTGACTCCATGTCATATTCGATCATTTTCACAGTACTCACTTCACCTTTTTTCTACCTTTGTGTCTGTCTCNCATTTCTCTGTTTCGAATTTACCTCCATTTCCCTAATAAATACGGTCTACCTCAATCACCTCTGTGGCAGATTGCTACTTTGGCAAAGCCTGACTGACTTAGAAATCTCTATGGCAGATCCTCCTACTTCTAGCTAGACTCCCGAAACTAGCTAAGCTTTAGCCCAGCTATAAAGGAAACAGACGTGTAGCACGGAGCACATTTATTCAGGACGTGTATTACGGATCAAGTGTACACGTAGGGAGCTACTCATGATCAGGATGGGGGATTAGGCTAAACAGAGGTTAATGATTGGTCACTGTTTGTACTGTCACTGCACACAGAGTTGTACGGCCGCACCCCAAAATCCTGGCGAGCAGACATGCGGGCATACTATGACGTACACAGTGATAACGTGCCCTACACCTCTACTTCTGATTCATAACTTTACCCAAGATGCACATTTTAGTAATGCTTTGAAAGAGAACTCTACTCTTCGTGTCTAAACCGAATGGATTTATAGATTTGACCAAGATCGATTATTAATTGGTATAAGCATCATTAAAAAATAACCATTCCTAATGTTCTGATGGTCATTAATTAGTGAAGTCCTGTTTTCTTAGCTTTGGAATCAGTTTATAATAATCCAGCTTTAATAATTCATTTCCATATTATTAACAAAATGTCAACGAAAAACTTATTATTTGATTTTCTGTTATTTTGAATTTACAGTGAAGGGGACATTTTTAAGCTACACAAATAAAGCGCTGTTAAAATTATTTCGCAAAACTAAACCAATTTGAAATTCATTCAAACAAGACATAAGTAAAATTGCATTGAAGTTTACTGTGTAATGTTCCATCTTTCCGATAGACTTACCTCTACGTGGTGCACCCTGGGCAACGTATATTCATACGGCAAAAAAGTCTATTAACTGGCAGTTGACTTCTGACTTCAAACTACCATCACCTCACTCTATGCCATATTCGACTATTTTCACAGTACTCACCTCACCTTTTCTACCTTCGTCTTTGAAGCACTCTTCTGTTCCCCCCCCCCCTCTCGACTTTTTTTCCCACTTTGATGTTCCTTCCCCTGTGTGAAGACTGAAGTCAACTAAAGGGCTAATGATAACCATCAAGACGCCTGCCATTTGATATAAATAAATAGGGTGTCCGTATATTTCCCTTTTTTCCACAGCCCTTGGGAAACCCCTGTCAAAGAGACTTTATCCCGTAATTACTGCATATTCTTTATAGGTAGAGGTAATATTGCATGAAGCACCACTTTAATAAGTTTATTTATTTATATCAAATGGCAGGCGTTTTGATAGTTATCATTAGCCCTTTAGTTGACTTCAGGCTTCACATAGTGGAAGGAACATCAAATTGAAAAAGTCGAGAGGGGGAGGGAACAGAAGAGTGTTTCAAAGATGTAAGAGACAAACACAAAGGTAGAACAAAGGTGAGGTGAATACTGTGAAAATAGTCGAATATGGCATAGAGTGAGGTGATGGTAGTTTGAAGTCAGAAGTCAACTGCCAGTTAATAGACTTTTTTGCCATATGAATATACGTTGCCCAGGGTGCACCACGGGGAGGTAAGTCTATCGCACACTCCACTTTAATAAGTGAATGCGTGGCTATAGCAAGAGGGTAAATAGTTTTTGTGAAAGGGTGGAGGTAGTTCAGATCATGGAATTGAGGTTAATTACCTTCAAGGGCNTAGATAATGTAGGGAAAAAGTAAGAGGTGTTTTTTGTTTTTCTTCGGAGTTGAACACATCCTGTTGCCTTTCAAAACAGTCGTTTCAATGGTCTTGCAATGAATCCCACAATAGCACTTGCAGGTGTGTCCTCTCTATTACACTTATCACGCGTGGAGAATAAATGAGTGGATATGGCACATTGGACTTTATTGTTGACCACATTGTCAGGGAAAAATGGATCCAATTGATATTGCGAGAGCACCGTCTTCTTTTTTTGCCAAAAAATCTCTCACGTGTTCATGATCTCCTTGCATCGCTCTTATTCTCTCTAATTACCTTAATATGTGGATGTATGATATTAGAGATGGGAATTCACCTTTTGACCGTTTGAGCCAATATAGCTTGAGTAAGCAGAAAATGTACCATTGGTCATTTTCAATGATCTTGTCTTAACCATGCTTGTTTGAAAGCCTTAATTTTAGTGTACTTGAGTAACTCTCTACCCATAACTAATATCTTGACCTGTCCCGGGTTCGTAATTCATGCAACCTAGCTTTTACATAAAGGGTATAGGCAACGTTGACAATAAATCGAACTAATTGTTTTAATCTGGATATCAGAGACTTTTCCAAAGTAATCAGCTGTACTTTTAAATCATAAAAATCGAGCATTTGAACACTTAGACGCCAGGACTTAAGCTTACGTGAAAATGTCATAGCGATAGTTACACAGGCAAGTAATTAGAGTTGACAAATTCGACGTTATCAGCTTGTCATCGTGTTGGTGATTCCGTTTAACGGATTCGTAATCTTTCACATCACAAAGACACAAAAGGATGAGGCCTGATTTTGGGAATAAGAGTCAACTTATGGGCGGCTTACCAGTATTTAATTATGAAGGGTACTTAAAATATTTATTTATTTATATCAAATGGCAGGCTTTATGATATTTACCATTGGCCCCTAAATTGACTTTGGGCTTCACAGAGGATAAGAACATCAAAGTGGGAAAAATTCGAGAAGGGGAACAGAGGAGCGATTCACAGATGTAAAAGAGACAGACGAGGAACAGAAGAGCGATTCACAGATGTAAAAGAGGCAGAAGGGTTGGGAACAGAGGAGCGATTCACAGATGTAAAAGAGACAGACACAGAGGTAGAGAAAAGGAAAGATGAATACTGTAGAAGTGGTTGAATATGACATACAGTGGGGTAATGGTAGTCTGAAGTCAACTGCCGCTTAAAAGACTATTTTGCCGTATGAGTATACGTTGCCCAGGGTGCACCACTTGGAGGTAAATCTATTACACACCCCTTAAATCGTTCATAATATCAACTTAAATTCGAAAATAGTTTACGCTGTTTCCCCTCTTTCCCGGCGCTCTCACTAAATTAAGTGGTTATTTTTTAAGATACAAAACTTTAGAAATGGTTTATACTCGTGATTTAATTTAATTATATTTATCATCTTAATTTAGCATGAAAAATTTAACCTGGATGTGAAAACGCGCGATGGGGGTGGAGTCTCGGCAATGAGTCTAAACCATCATTTATTTATTATATCAAATGACAGGCGTTTTGATGGTTATCATTAGCCCTTTAGTTGACTTCAGACTTCACAGAGGGGAAGGAACATCAAATTGAAAAAAGTCGAGAGGGATGGGAACAGAAGAGTGTCGCAAAGATGTAAGATACAAACACAAAGGTAGAAAAAAGGTGAGGTGGGTACTGTGAAAGTAGTAGAGTATAACATACAGTGGGGTCATGGTAGCTTGAAGTCAGAAGTCAACTACCGGTTTATAGACTTTTTTGCCGTATGAGTATACGTTGCCCAGGGTGCACCACGTGGAGGTAAGTCTAAACCATCATAAAGTGGCCAGACCCATTGTCGCTTGAATAGGGGTCCACCTAAACCATGCAATTTTATAAGTTGACATAAATAAAATAGTAGCTATTTGTTTAGCAAAACTTATATTTATTCTACTCTATTTTTATCAACTGCCATGTCTGATTTCATGTCTGTGGCGGTGAAATTAGACTGATATTGACTAAAATTTTTAATGACTTTGCCTTTTAAAGCTGCAATTCGAGGATGATTTGGAAATCACAGCAATGTATTCAAACGAAGGTGAAAGAGTTAATTTCGAGAAAACCACGNTTCCCTTCTGTGATGCCTAAAGTCAATTAAAGGGCTAATGATAACTATCAAAACGCCTGCCATTTGATATAAATAAATGTCCGCAAATGAACTGGCAGTTATACAAATATAAAATAACTAATAGTAAAAATAAATATATTTTTTTCAAAAACATATAGACTAGTATGACACTATAAATAGAGAGTAAAAATATAGTTAAAAGGTCAGTTACGATCAAAATTTTAAAACATAGCAAAGTAGGTAGTAGTAAATGCAAACGGGATAGCCTGACACCTGACTATTGTCATCGGCGTCCGCGATTTGGACGATAGGCGCCGTTAGGAACATACTTGCCCCGTCCCCGGCCGCGGTTACCACTGTTTTGGGCGTTATGACTATTATTCCCATCTCCATTCGCTGTTGACACTGCGTCACCGTTCGGAGTTCGGGTATTACTCTGGCGATTTGGACGATAGGCGCCGTTAGGAACATACTTGCCCCGTCCCCGGCCGCGGTTACCACTGTTTTGGGCGTTATGACTATTATTCCCATCTCCATTCGCTGTTGACACTGCGTCACCGTTCGGAGTTCGGTTATTACTCTGGTGCTGAATAGGTGACTGCCTTTGTTGTTCCTGCATGTCCTCGGGCTGACCTTGTTGGTGTTGTTGCTGGTTCTCAGTCTGAGGCATGGGTTTAGGTACGGGTCTAGGCATCGGGGCATCCAATGCCCTAACAATTTCACCATTGGACATTCGATAAAACACCAAAGCCTCGTACACATCCGAGTAGGGGCAGAAATAGTAGGCACTTTCGCTTCCATTCAGCTCAAACTGCTCATCAAGGTAAATTAACTTTCCAGCAAAGCGATAATAGCCCTCATTCACAGCCTGGACGAGAATATCTTGATATAAATATTGGGAATCATGCTTCGTGTCCTTAATTCTATTAAAAAAGATCACGTCCGAACGACAACAAGTCTCATTTCTAACAGGAAAGACATAGAGACTGTCATTGCTGAAATATCTTTGCAACAATAAATCATCTGGTTTAGCAACAATATTAGGTTGAGCATGGGCCCACACAACCGAAACTGCCTGGAATGGAATTTGCATATACGGCTCCCTAAAAGAAACATTAAGAGACACGTCAACCACTAGCAAGCAAGTTTAAGGAGTGAAAGAAGACCAAATTCTTACTTTATTTTAACCAATTCGCCCATGCGAACAACGACAAATACGCCATGGTCGAGAAGAAAGCAAATTGCGCATCTGGTGCTGCCGTCCACAACATCTAGTATGCATACTCTTGACCAGGTGGTGGCAGTTCTCAGAACAGCTATCTTATTCACAAATATTGGATCGGAAAGCAATACTCGTGTCCCAATGTTAGCATAATCAGCATTCATCTCTGCTTCCATCCTCAGAAACTCCTCGTAAACACTATCCACAATCGTGACGAATAGGTGCTTCTGAGAATACCACGACCGAACATAGACAAGCGTTAGTTCACCAAAAGGAAGCTTGCGCTGTCAAAAGAAAAAAACAGCATTAATTGAGATTTCTGACTTTATGAAATAACGGCACATATGAGGAGAGACTCACCAGAAGTTTAGTTGCATCGTCGATTTTGGTGATAGAATGCGGACTCCTCGTTCGGAATGAAATCCATCTTAAAACCTCCACCTTGAATTCCGGAGGACAAGATACTTCCAATAACGCAGTAGTGTCATTGGGATCGGTCGAGTGCACAAGAACCTTTGCTTGGTACCGTGCCTTCAGGTTCTTAACGTGTATGCCGTTTGTTCCACAAAATCGGCCTATCATATTGGAGGGGATGGTCATGCGAAGTCTCCACAAATTTGGATTCGCATCCAAACAGAATAAATCATCTTCGATAATAACTTGTCCAATCCAAATCCCATCCAACAATACTGGTTCAGTCTCTACAATGCCGTGCTCGGGCACTCCAAGCAATCCTTGGCCAATATAAGCTTGAAGGCCACCACCAGATTCGACACCTTCATAATCCTCGGAGCTAACTTCCGTGGTAATAGGAATTGTTTCCTCATTAGCCCCATCATCAGGACTAGGAGTCGGGTCAACATCTCCATCACGATCACTCGCGAAGCTAGAGTTGGCAGGATTCTGCGTGGATGCTACAAGGACTTCTTCCTCTTCTAACAAACTTCCCTTGGTTTCATCAACGATAGCCCTTTCAGTTTCCCCAGGCGTCACGGATCTCTTCAAATTACCGCCTTCAACGGAAACACTAACTGGAGCGGAGGCGATGATTTCAGAATGATTACTTTCTGCCACCGAGGGGTTGGCTCCTTTTTCAACCACAAATTCCGATTTTTCAACTATTGTCTACACAAACAACAAATCAATCGATAAGGAAGAATTTAAATCATCTCCAAGCACTTATAATTATAGTATTGCAGGCGTTATTGAAAAGTAAAGGAAATAACGATAATCAATACAGACAAAACAAGTTGAATAACTTAATCAAGCGAGAACAAATGAATAACGCCAATGTTGAGGGAACAAAAACAGGACCGGCGAATGAGAACAACCTACTACCATCCGAATAAACAATAACGTGAGGGTCAGTACAAATTCGCCGACTTTTATATTGAAGGCTGAATCGGCTATTTAAAACAATCATCACATTTATTGATGCTATCTAATAATTACAATTTTACACTCGTAATGCTAGCTGTTTATAAATTCTACTTGCATTTGCTAAAATTTCTAGTTTTATAAATAGCTAAAAATATAATATTCCAAATATTTTTTAAGTTCATTGCAAATAGTTTGCCAGAAACATATTTAATTTCTTAAATATTGATTGCGATATGTTTAGCATAATTAACTATAATGTATTTTCATTCATAAGATTGAACTAGAGGCCTTACTTTGAAAGAAGTGCGGTTATAATTGTTTCTGCGTACACTTTGTGCGGTCAAATTATGGATAAACTACAGTCTTCAAAACAACGCACATCATGATTTTTTAAAGAGAGACGATCAAGAAACCTTTGATTACGGGGACTATTGCCAATGAAATTTAAATTTTTCGTTTAGAGAGTTTCATATTACCACAAATTAAAATTTATATCCCTAATTAATTTTCCTGCAAATATTAAAAACTTGCCCATGTGAGCTTATAGCAAAAAATTAAAATTATTGGACACAATGAAATTATTGCTTTGAAAGAATGTTTTGATGTTTTAACTAAACACTTTTAGAGTTTCTTTAAATTGATTTAGCGAACTTCAAATTGTCAGAACGTGAATTCGTCTCATATCTCTTGGTTTTGGTTGAGGATTGTTTTTGTGTAAATATTTACTGTGAGTCACTTATTGATTTTCATTTGCCTGAACGTTAAAGCTAGGTTCATTGAATGTTATATTTCCTACCTCTGATTTGTCACAGTTTGTCGTTGCCAGTATTCGATACTGCGTCGCCTGTCAATTAAAGCTTCAAGACGATGAATGAGATCTTGAATAATATATTTATATGCACCAAAGTTGCTGTACTTTTTGTGTGTTTGCGGGTAAATGCTTAGGCAGATTATCTATGTAAAATATGCTAAGTAGTATCTATGCTATTGCTTGCTATGGTTTCGAGTGGTTGTATTAATGAGTTAAGCCTGGTCATAGCTCCCTGCCGTTGTGCTTTCAGAACAATGTCGAGCTATCGGCAACTCACCGCTCTTACTCTAGTTTCTGCTTCAATCTTTTACGTTTGGTATCGCTATTGCAGAGCGAATTCAAAATCTTCTGTTCTTTTATCAATGGCTGGAACGGTATGTTCTTAGAAGCCGTATTTATGTGTTCTTTGTTTTTTTCTAACTAATCAGGCTGTCACACGAATGGCTCTTGGTTCACTTCTTTGCTGTGGTACAAATCCGTTTCGCAAACGGAAAAAGGCAAAGGAAGCGAACACAGCTCCCTGTGTACAGGTATTTAAAATTTAAAAGCTCTAAGTATAGCTCTGGTATCTATCCGTGAAGCATGCTCTGCTTAAGGCAAAAGATCACTAATCGCCTGCTTAAAGAACCAAGACCACATTTTACGTTATTAGTGATCTTTGAATGTAACTTTGGCCTATGGTTTTATACGTACTAGCTATCTATTTTTACCGCTTGTTTTATGTGTTATATTACTTTGCTTTCATTAATTTTTTTATGCGCATTGTTGCCTACCTATTCATTCATTTAGTTTAAGGTTAAGCCATCAAATCAAATGGATCAGCAGTCTAACAGTTCTTCATCAGAACCAAATATTAGACCTGAGACCGTGGCCTCTGTTCAATCCGCTCCTCCATTCCAGGAAGAAACAACTGCATCATCTGAAGAAATCCAATGCGCTAATGTTGCTGAAGCCCATGAAACAGTTTTAGAGGAAGAAATTGTGATGGCCGCCCAACATCCCGTTTGTGCTAACACTATCGTCACTTCAGATGAACAAATACCTTCAGGAACTTTGAAAGAGACCTCTCTAAATGTACTTCAAGAAAATTCAGGTTGTCGTGGTAAATTGATTTGCGAGGCAAATGGAAATCATGTCCTGGTAGAAAATTCCCTATCCTCTCATATGAAGACTAATTCAATTACTAATATTGAGCATGTAATTGAACCCCTCGATAATTTTAACTTGTCTTCAAGCAAAGAGAATGTTCGTAGTTGTAACGAAGAATCAATTTCAGCTGTTGCTGCAAGGCAAGCTGGTGCCAACTCTAACGGTAGCCCTTTGGCTTATTTTGGTCAAGGAATGTTGGGAATACCCGAATATCAAATTGAGGAGACTGAGCCGCAGTTGCATGATGGTGTTTTGCTCCCTCAAGTTCTTATTCCTTCTGATTTACCCATATTCGATGATCCAAATATATACAAAACTAACTTCATTATTCCCAACACGATGAGTGGAATAATAATCGGAAAACAGGGCAAAAATGTTAATGCATTGAAAGAGAAATTCTTTGCAGATATCTCCATTTCTCCTGCTCAGGTGGATCATAATAATATAGTTTTGACTGTGAGTTGCCCTATCACCTATAAGGATGATGTGATACAATGGATTTTGAAACGCATTCGTACCAAACCTTCGATGACTCCAATCGGAAACCCATACCAACTTCTGGTTCGTTTGCTACTACTCTGCTATCTCCGATATCATGAATTACTTACACGAATTATTTTTTTTGTTTTAGCGAACTACTCCGTTGGGAGAGCTAACACGTGTATTCATTCGGTCTTCGTATTCACGAAAGCATCTGTTCGTCACAATTGCGGACGAATGTTACAATAAATTTCTGGAGATGGAAAAAGAAATAACTGCTGATTATACAAACATGACTCATACGCGACTGCAGCTCTACGACCCTGTTGTTGTGGGAACAATAGCTGTCCTAAAAACTGGTGTCATTTATTCTAGGGTCTTCATAATGGACATTGTTGATGGTAATCCAAAATTGGCAGTATGCTTCCTTCTCGACCATGGTACATTTACCGTTGCTCCCGTTGGCGATTTGCGCAAAATTAAGTAAGTTTTTTCTTCCATCTTTTCAAAATACTTACTAGGTTTTCATATATATTCTTACCTCTCTTTTAGAACACGTTATATGCAGGTTCCGTTTCAGGCAGTATCAGTGATGTGGGCCCATGCTCAATCCCCCTTTGTCGATATATCAGATGACAACTTCTTGATGAGATATTTTAACAATGACAGTCTCTATGTCTTTCCTGTTAGAAATGAGACTTGCTGTCGCTCGGACGGGATCTTTTTTAACAGAATTGAAGACCCGAAGCAGGGTTCTCAATATGTATATCAAGATATTCTCGTCCAGGCTGTGAATGAGGGCTATTGTCGCTTTGCTGGAAAGATCGTTAACCTTGATCAGCAATTTGAGCTGAATAGAAGTGAAAAAGCGTACTATTTCTGTCCATACTCGAGTGTGTATGAGGGTTTGGTGTTTTATCGAATGTCTAATGGTGAAGTTGTTAGGGCATTGGATGTTCCCGTACCTAAGCCCTTGCCTCAGCCTGAGAACCAACAAAAACACCAACAAGATCAGCTCGTGGACATGCAGAGACAACAAAGGCAGTCAGCTAATCGACGCCATAGGAATGACCGAACTCCTAACGGTGGTGCAGTGGCAGCAGCGAATGGAGGTGGTAATAATAGTAATAACTCCCAAAATGGTGGTAATCGGGGCCAGGGTCGGGGCAAGTATGTTCCTAATGGCGTCTATCGTCCAAATAACGGAAATCAACGGCAGTAGTTCTCTATGTCAGACTATTTCCTTTGCTTCTGTATATTATGTAAAGTATTTCTTCCACCTGATCTGATTACAGTAATGCCTGTCGCGTCCCTTCACTTTCAATGTAAATCAATGACCTCCAATGGAATTTATGCTGCTTCCGTTGTATCTTCTTCCCTTGCTCGTCTCCCTCTAACCATCACAAATGACTATTTCGATTCATTGCGCTTTCGGGCATCTTCCAGTTTTTTTCAGCAAGGACTGACAATCTTTAATATGTATTCACTCAAATATACTCCACATTTAGTATAGCTCTCTTTTTCTAACATTCTTTAGAGGATGTTGGTGGTTAAGGCCATCTTGTCTCGAACTTTTGCCTATTTTTGTGTCATCCAAGACTGTAAGCTGTATAACAAACTTTGATTATGCTCTTTGAGTGCTTTCAGCTATCCTGAATATATAGTACCTGTTTTTGTTTAAAACGTGAGCTTTTATATAACTCAACTATGGTTTAATTTGTTCTTCTTTGGGTTTTAATCTGTTTTGTGTTTTTTCCCGTTCCTAATGAGTCATTTCTTGACCTCTTTTGACTTTACAAAATTAGGTTCTTTATTGACCGGATAATTGATTTGAGGTTTGTATTTATTTTTTTTTGCATTTGAAGCGTATTAACAAGGAATTTAACTTCGTTTTTTCTAAAAATGATTCTAGTAATGAATCGATCACCTGAAGGTTAGTTGGCGTGCTCTTAGAGCATGCTTCAATGGTCATCATTGAGCTGTATTGATTTCGAGAATTTAAGGTATTTGCAGATTCTCTTGTAAAACTTGTGCTGGTCATCCACTCCAACCAAAGTGTTTTACTACAAAGTAGAAGAACATCAGTGATACAAAAGTTGAGAAGTGAGGGGACGAGGGAGTGACTCGCAAAGGTAGAAAAAGAAGTGAGGTGAGAACTGTGAAAGTGGTGGAATATGACATACAGTGGAGTGATGGTAGTTTGAAGTCATAAGTCAACTGCCGGTTCAAACACTTATTTGCCGTATGAGTATACGTTGCCCAGGGTGCATCACGTGTTCATAATCCGATACAAATATTTGAATTAGCTATTTGTTTAGGATTTTTCATGTTATCATTGAAGTGGAGCCCATCTAGATTCGCATAGTTTTTTTTTCGCTGGTCTTAATTCAACCTAAAGGAGTGATGAAGTTAAAATTGTCTAAGCATAGCCGAAGATTCCTGGCATTTGTTAGGCCTTAATCTCACCAGTTGAGCTACTTTAATGGCTTAACCAACTTTGAGCTTTAGCAGGATGCTTCAGTTTGCTTCGAAGTGCTTCCACCTTGCTCATGAAAAGCTGGCATCTACTACATTTGCATGAACTTGTAGAAGGGAAGCTATTCATTGACTGCAAGCAACACGGCGGTGAGAGGGGGGTGCTCAAGCACTTCTTTCTGAAGCTGATTTTTAAGGAGGGAATTGAGCAGCTACCATGAACTCATTTTTAATGGCCATGGCCATTGCAAAAGTCTTCCATGCTTCAGATTGGTCTCAGTGATCTCCCTTTCGCTTTGTCATCTCGCAAATTAATGAAGACGGTTTGGCACTTTCAAAATAGCTATAGAGTTCAAGAACACATTGATCATATCTGGATAAAAGACCATATGCCATTCCTTAAATTCTAACTCGAGAACTAAAACTAATATATAAACGTAGCGTTCAATTAGAACTTTATTATTTCAAAAGCGTAAATACATATTTTAAAAGAATAATTACATTGTTTTTCAAAAAGTACGCCCGCTTTAAAAGATTGTAAACATAGTGTTTATTACTATTTCATCATTTCAGATGTAAGAAAATATTTATAGGCATCATTTTATTGTTTTTTTAATTACATCTTACTGCATTTTAAATAAGGGGTGCGCGAAAGACATACCTCCTCGTGGGGCATTCTGGGCAACGTACACTCCCACGGCAAAAAAGTCAATTATTCGGCAGTTGACTTCTGACTTCAAACTACCATCACCCCACCGTATGCCATATTTCACCACTTTCGCAATATTCACCTTACCTTTTCTCTGCACTTGTGTCTACCTGTCTCTTTTAATCTGTGAATCGCTCTTCTGTTCCCTCTCTCGACTTATTGTAACTTTGATATTCCTCCTCCTCTCTGTGAATCCCGAAGTTAGCTAAAGGGCTAATGGTAACTATCGAAACGCCTACCGTTTGAGACAAATAAATAAATAACATTATAAATAATTGTAGATAGATCATGACTTAACTGAAGGAACTGTTGAGAACGCTATATTCCGAAATTATTCCATGCTCTTAATGACTTCACTACTAAGGAGATTTAACCAAAAACACTGAACTGTACTTCCTTTGTGAGCTCAAAGATATTCCTCACCCACCAAATCTCAATGATGCGAGAAAAGAAACCTTCTGCAGGAAGCAACACACAACCTTTGGCATCTTTCCCACCTTATATCTGCTTGACACCCACTTCAACTTCCTCCACCCAACTCTCTGTGTGAGGAGGGTGAGCGAAACCTACTTTTGTGAAATTGGCCCTCAATTGTACTTTTACTAATAAGTCATCGTCTTAGAGAAGACCCACACACAAATTCGAATTTTGTCATTATAATTGTGCAGTCTGATTGGCTAGAAGAATTTTTTCTGCTTTAACTTGATCACTCAGCTACGCATTCTGTACAATCCCAGTATTATTCTTCATTCAAATTATGATGGGCAGTTGTAGGTAGACTGTATCTCAGTTTCATTTATTTCAAATTTATTCATGCCAGGTAGTTCCCTACTAGCTATTAGTAAGACACAGCGTGTTGTTAGATTCAGTGGTCATATTTTTGTTGTTGCAGATAGAGAGAAAATGTTAGTTCGTGGAGAAAGAATGTGTTTGACTACCACTTGTGTGAACTTGCCAATGATCTTCGAGATCGTAGTCTCTGACCTAGTAGACGGGCATTCTGGCCACTAATTTGTCGTAGCGTAAGCCAATCGTTTTGAGTACTGTACAAATGACCTATGCTAGTCGGAGTCTTTGTGGATTGGTTGAAATGCAGTTTTCTTTTACTTATCGAAGTTGGATAAGCCCAAAATTATACATATACTACGCGTTCGTTAAGTCCAATCGGCGATTACAGTTTCTGGAGTATTTGTACGTTTCTTCAATCAATTGGCTCTTACACTATTTAATTAAGAAAGTGGTAATAAAGAAATTTGACTTCTTTTCCTCGGCAAATAAAGCATAGGCTCAATTTAGGGATGTAAAATATCAGTCAGAAAAATCTTTAAGGAAAGCCCTGTGCTTGAATCATGAATTGTGCTCCCTCTCCAATAATATGCGTCCCTTTGGTTTTAATTACTGATTTTTCCCTTTCAATTGACCCTTTTAACCTCAGGTTTGCATTGGCAGATACGTAAAATTTGTAGCTGCAAATGCAGTCAACTTAATGCTGTCATATTGACACCCCTATTTATAGACGATCAGGTGTGATCAAGTATGGTGGAGGATGCGAGACAAGAAATACCTAGTTAAATTGGCGATAATCAGAGGTCATGATTACTCACATCGCTGATTCGATTTTGGATTCGCCCATTTTGTGAATTATTGGGAGATTTTTTTCGCATAATGTGGATTACTAATATGCAGTGTTGGAAGTCACTGGTTCGATACCCACCGGCGCATATCAAATCGCCGAAATTTTACAAATTGGTTAGATATGAACAAGATAGGATAGTTAGAAAGTGGATTTTACACTGCTAAGATTTTAGGTTGATGCCAATTTCTTCAAGCAATTCTAGAAAAAAGCACTTTCTAACTACACTTTATACTAAAGCAAAATGACACTAGCGCGAAACCTATTCTGAATGAAATGTATTCGAGATTTTCAAACATATTTGAACAACCAGACTGTCAATGGCTCTTATATAATTTTCTTACTTAGTCAGAAACAATAGAGGGAAACTTATATTACTCAAACGCTTTACTGTTGTATGCTTAGAATTTATTTATTTATTAATTTTAAATGGCAGGCTTTGTGATATTTATAAGTACCCTTTAAACTTTGACTTCAGCTTCCCCATGGGTGGGGTACATTTATAGCAGTTAATTAATAGCAGTTCATTAGCTGTTTTCTTGCTTCCCAGTATCTCTGGCTTTCCGTCCTTGTCTTTAGGGCTGGACATCGAATCAGGAGGGTCTTCTCCACTACCTCCTGTAGGTTACATAGGGGAAATGTGGGTTGAGTGTATACTGCCAATCTGTGAAGGTGTTTATAGGCAATCGTGTTCGGTACGTAGTCTAAACTCATCAACGGTCGATTCTCGCCGCCGGGTATGTCGGAGAGTGCCACTGTCCACTATTTCTCCTTGGGTACGTGCGCTACAAAACGAATTCAATGTTCTGTTCCCACTGGAATAGAAAATTTCTTCTAATAAACTAACAATATGAATTATTTTAAATAGTAAATCAAATACTTATTCAACAGAAAAGCATACTTGAGAGTCAGGAACAGCGTCAAGAATCCTGATACACCGATTTTCTAGTCTTTTTTGCTTCTCAGCTTGATAAATAGCAACAAAATGGTGTATTTGTTCAAGGCACTATTGTTTGGATGTTCTGAGCCTGAAAAATAAAACTTGGAATGTGTAACTAGTGCTGCAAGGGTCACGAAAAGAAACAAATTCTCTGAGGGTATTAAAGATAACTAGTATTTATTTAGTAGAAGAAACAAGACTCACAAAGATGGTAAGCCCAACCGTTTAATCGATTAGCTTTTATTAATGCGAACATCAACTCTCTCAAGAACATAGAGCGTATGGTGGTGATAATGCTGCTTGCTATGCGAAGAGTTTAGGACTTGCTGTGTTCTAAGTGGACATGAATGAAGACTGTACTCGGTGACTTGGTATCTACCTTTTATAACTTCTATACTCTCCTTAACACAATAATCCTAGGTTTGGTGTTCCGATTTTACTCCTATTTTGGCAATGAGAAGCAAA